GCCCGTAGACATCTACATTTATCCTCGTTTGCGAATCAAAATGCAGATGCGTTGCCACCCGTGAGGACTAAGATGGAATGCCTCTTTGCCAGTAAAAAAGGTCTTCAGCTCTTTAAGCTCACCATACGAAACACAGCAGTGTTATGCTGCTATTTTACGCTGGTATTCTGTGAGAGCGTGGTCCTTCCCTGGTCTCTACCACGTATAAAATGTTTGTCAAATATTTAAAAAGATACAGAATCTTCGTTATTTAAAAAATGCAATGTTAAAGATTTAATTCAAGACTTTCGAGGCGTGTGAGAGCTTAGGGTTGAACTAAAGTGATTTAAAAATAAAGATCTTGCAAAAATCAAATAACCATCATGAAATCGAGTCCAGAATTTACGAAACTTAAACATTTAATAAGCTTTTTTAATAGTGTTTATGTTTCGTAAAGGATTAATATTTATATTTTACGACAAGGAATTCATTTTAAAAATCAAATTACTTTTTCCATCTAGATGTTGATATTATGATCCAATATTGCGAAAATCCTCGCCTCGAAAACTTGATTTATTTCACTGGATTGAGCTTAAGGTCGTGAGCACATTAAAATTTACCGTGAATCGGGTAATTTCTTACCCCATTTTTGATATTATTCACTAATAAAATGTTCTATATATCTAAATAACGAAGCTCGAAATGTTACTTATATATCAAATTATGAACATGAGTTCTAAAATCTAATTATTTCATTATCATCATTACAGCCCTTCACAAGTCCACTGCTGAACATAGGCCTCCCTCAAGGAATGCCACAAAGCATGGTCCTGAGCCACCTGCATCCACACTTCCTGCATGTCTCACCAGGTCGTCACTCCATCTCGTGGAGGGTCGCCCTACACCTCGCCTACCGGTACGAGGCTGCCACTCGAGAACCTTTCTTCCCCACCGGTTGTTGGTTCTTCGAGCTATATGGCCGGCCCACTGCCACTTCAGCTTACTAACCCGTTGGGCTATGTCTGTTAATCTGGTTCTACTGCGGATATCCTCATTTCTAAGTTTATCACGCAGAGCTCGGATTAATTCCAGCCGCTCAATTTCACCATCGCACATCGCGACAAAACTCGCGTTACCATCCATACCATCTGGACGATTGGCGGTCTACCACTGTGCGATTTAGAAGAAGTTTTCTCCCTCGCACAACTTCCTTGTGGAATCGATTACCACCAGCGATTTTTCCGGACCGATACGACTTAGGAACCTTCAAGAAAAGAGCTTACACCTTTCTAAAAGGCCGGCAACGCATCTGCAATTCCCCTGGTGTTGCGGTTGTTCATGGGCGGTGGTAGTCACTTACCATCAGGTGAGCCGCATGCTCGTTTGCCCCCTCTTCTATAAAAAAAGACACCTCGTTTATTGTTTAGTTCATAACATTTTTTATTTTTTACATGTTACAATAAAATAGTACGTGTAAATTCTCTGTTTAATTTAATCCGTAAGGAGGACATCTGCAGTAGATTTTTTTTTAACTTTAAAAGCTAGTGCTTGGCCACTATCCCACCTGACGGTAAGTGGTGAAGCAGTCGAAGATGGTAAAGTGCACTGACTCAACAAGGCCTCTTCACGCATGCCTAGAAGACACCTACATTATAATCGGATCGAAAGACATATGCTGGCAAATAATTCCACTGCATTGCTGTATGTATTGTTACGAGCTTGGGGTTCGAGACAAACTGCCGAGTGAATTACCAAAATCGACACTTTAATTACAGAGCACCAATTACAACTTAAACCAAACTAATAATAAAACACAAATATACTACTGATCACTTTAGTTCGCAGTTGTATCGCTTCGAAGTATTCGCTTATATCGCCAATTCAATACTGACTCGGTCGTGGTCTATATCCGGCATTATTTAGGGCCTCAGATAGTTTCCAGAACCTTCTACTGTAGATCCATCTAGTATGTTCGAGTACATATCAGTCCCGAAATTTTAGAAGGATCTTGACTCTCCTAGTTCTGCTACTCGATACTAGAGGGTGCTAGTGGTAACTAGTGTTGCCATGTACAAGACATTAATAGTGGCGCGCAACAGTATTATGAACGACGAAGCAAACCGTTTGGTTCAAATACGTGGTATGTCGACAACAAAGGGTTCGAGACCAGCCGAGCGTCTGCTAGTTCGATTCTGGAATGGAAAGGGAGGAATTAAGTTATATAATTCCTGTCCACACTACCCAAAATGTCTCTTCCAAAAAACCGAAAAGCTGGTCGCTTTGCACATGTGCTCGAAGCTGGTAAGATTGGTTCTAACCATATTGGTGTCAACAATAAGCCATTCCATTCAGTCGCTTGGTGGCACTTTGCAGCACCAGCCCATATATGGCATCAATTCTCCGAGCACGGCCGGACTTGCGCTTTATATAGTGAAAACAACTGTCCCGGCGTGAAATGTCGCCACACTTTGGTAAGTACATCTTACTCCCAGAGATAAGCCGTACGTCTAAAAGGCTAACACGCTAGACCCTTCAAATGTTTTGATACTAGAAGGGAAACAGCTCTAGAGTCTCGTCCCATATGTGTGTGGAATATGCTAAAGGATCTCTTGTCCACCAATTATGACGGAACTATACGGAATCACGCTATATGTCGTATGGTGAGTGACGAAAACCGGAGACCGTTTTTATTGGTTACGGCACGTATCTTAGTTTTCAGGGGTGATAACGCATTTACATTTTGATTCCTAATCGTGGATAGATGTAAGTGTGTACGGACCACAGCATTCACTTACCATCAGGTGAAATATGTACCCGTTTGACGCCCTTATTCTAAAAATAAAAATATAATAATGTATTCAGGGAGGCACGACGTAAATTTCACAGCACGCGAATAACCTGGCAATAATGAAATTGTTTAATGTATTGTTGCGCGCCACTATTAATGTCTTGTACATGGCAACACTAGTTACGCTAGCGCCCCCTAGTGTCGAGTAAATGAAAGTATTGCGCGCCACTATTAATGTTTTGTACACGGCAACACTAGTTACACTAGCGCCCTCTAGTGTCGAGTAGCAGAACTAGGAGAGTCGAGATCCTTCCAGAAATTTCGGGACCGATATGTACTCGAACATTCTAGATGTCTCTACAGTAGAAGGTTCTGGAAACTATCTGAGGCCCTATATAAGGCCGGTATAGACCACGACCGGGGCAGTATTGAATTGGCGATACAAGAGAATACTTCGAAGCGAAATAACGGCGAACTGTGTTTTATTATTAGTGTGATTTTAGATTGTAATTAGTGTTGTGTAATTAAAGTGTCAATTTTGGTAATTCAATCGGCAGTTTTTAATTGTCTCGAACCCCAAGCTCGTAACAGTATATATTGTTTAAGTGTTGATTTAGCACGTACCCGGGGTGAGGGAACGGACATGTCACCTTGACCTAAAACCTTCTTAGAAATTAGAGAAGGCCTGTGCCCAGGTGTGGGAAATATGGGGACTGCAAATTTAACCTTTACATTTTAACTTTTTATAAGCTAGTGATTTACTACTAGCGGTAACGCAGTGGCTGAGCATTTGGCTGCGGCGCTGCGTGGTCACGGGTTCGAATCTCGCACGAAACAAGTGTTTGTATGACCTACAAATGATTGTTCCGTTCCGATATGATAACCGCATGAACCGATATTACATGAACATTCTAGAAAACTCTATGAAATTAATTAATATTTTTTAAATGAAAACTTCCTTAGAATTGTTGTGATTTGAAACTCGATGAAACAAAAAGGCTACACTAAAAAGAGACAAACACATACATCTATAGGATTTGGCCTGTGAGAGAATGAGATAGAATACAGTATACAGTGTTTCCTATTATCTCGGTATCCTCTTTTTGCGGTACATTGTAGCCTGTTTCTGAGGCCTCTGCCTCCAATTTTGCGGGCAGCGGGCTCCGGTGGCGGCGGAGGTGCGGGAGCGGGGCGGGCAACGCAGGCCCGTTCTCAAAAATAGCGGGCAGATCGCGCGAAACTATAGCGGCGTAGTGATATGTTTATCGTTGTGTTGTCGAGATATTTGTTTTTATTTGCGAACGAAATGTCTGAACAACGGCGACAACATCTTTTTGATTCAAATTTATTCCTAACGCTCGATTTATTATGGGCAAAAGAAGAAGTGAATCCCTACTATAAGGGCAAGGAAAAGAAAAGGCGAGTTTTATCGAAATTATGGAGAACAGAGACAATGTCCCGACAAATTCTACGATTACACCACAATGAGTGTAGAAACTTTTGACTATATTCTTGAAGCTAGCAAGGGCGGTTTAGGGTCTGGAATTAATTCAAAACGATATAGAGGTATATCTCCAGCAGAAAAATTATACTTGACGCTAGGGTAAGTAAAACAACGAAATTGTAATTTGTAATTATAATATGTATTATTAATATTAAAAGGTGTCGAGGTAGACCGAGACTAACTTTCGAAGACCATGTGAGCAAATTGCTCGAAGAGGGTAGGGTCAAGAGTACTCGGATACCTAGACGTGCATGTATGAAGAAGATAATGAATCTGAAAGAAGCGAAAGAGATATGTAAGGATCGTGACACTTGGCGATCTGTTCTCTCTGGCTACCCCGTCAGGGATTGTGCGTGAAGATAAGTAAGTAAGTATTAATTATTGATAGTGTCAAAAAAAGAAATTGTGTTGCACTAATTTAGTAATTAATTTGACAGCAGATACAATCATTTTAATGAAATACTTACTTTCACTAATTAGCCTTAATCATTTATTTATGACGAAAACATTTTTTAATATAAAATAGGTACGTTTCGTATGAAATAAGTAACATAAGTTTGTTTTTGAAACGCATTCAAGGATTGATAATTATAACCTTATAACTAAAATCGCAGTTACAGTCATTTAAATCTCTAAAATCACTGTTTTCATTTGTACGATGATTAGTTATTTCTACAATCATAGTTTTGTTATTATTTGACAGTATTTTTTATTATAAGGTTGATATACCTAGTGTTGAGTATTATACTCATGCGTAAATGGTTCATTAGAAGGGTACATGCCTTCATTTACACTTAACTCGTCTAGAACAGCTTGATTAATTTTTTGTCTTACTCTAAACTTTTGTACTGGCGTGAATTTTTCAATTTGTGGACACAAACTCATTAAAAAGTAGTAGTTGTCTGACTTATTCTCATGTCTAGAAGTCTCGTTTCTACTTTGATTTGATAAATCATTTTCCAGCAGTCTTATCCTTTTACTTTCCAATTCTAAAAATTCAGTTCTTATTTCATTCGCTGTTTTCTTTTTTCTTGACCGTTCTGAAGTAGAAGCTTCTCTTGAAGGTGTAGAAGCTTCTTGCGATGATGTAGAAGATTCTTGTGAAGATATAGAAGCTCCTAGTGCGGATGTAGAAGCTTGTTGTGGATTAATAGAAGCTTCTTCATCACGACCGGTTGTATTTTCATGAGATCTTCAGAGATGTCTTCTATCTCAATAGAATCATTACTTATCTGATTACTTATTTCAGTTCTGCTTAAATTACCCTCAGTAACATTTGGTAGAATTTCATCTCGCAAAAAATTCGAATGAGAAAAGTATTGCCAATTCGAGGGTTGATTAACATATCCGGCATCTCCTGATCGAGAAGCAGGAATTTTCTTTAATTCCTTTCTATAGTGATCTTTTATATTTTTTAATTTTTTCTTTAAATCGGTCACTGAAACAAAAGAATGAACAGACTGTATATTACATAGATAACTTTAACATACCTATGCTTAAACTTTCAGGTTTTTGGCTAGTGGGCACCCATAGAGACAAACAAATGTCACGCAAGATTACTCATTAAAACTAGTTGTTTGTTGCATAACATTATTCGAGATAAGGATGGTGATAATGATATTGCATATAATAATGTCAATGTGAATCAAGAAATAATACAAATAAGATCACAAACAAATGCCCGAACGTCTTATCAAGCACAATATATACGTGAAAAATTCAAAGAATATTTTGTAGATAATCACATTAACTATTAGTAATTTCGTTGACATAATAAATCATTTTCATATTTACCTTCAATATTCATTTCGTTTTTAATTTCTTCCCATAACTGGTTAATTACTCTTCTATTTTTATGGTTCACATCTTTGCTGTTCCATATTGGTGTACTCTCAAAAATTTCTGAATTAATTTGCTCTTGCACGTCCGAGGACATTTCGACATGTCACAAAAATAAATTGCACAACACTACAATGCAGACGCGCGGGCGGTCATCGCTTGACTTTTTTTTTTGCGGATGGAAAATCATCAAATGACGCCTTTCGCTCTGGGTGGAGCGGAAGGGAGTGTCAGACTTTTACTGAATAAAAACCATCCGTGTTCCTTCAGTGCCCTTACGTTCCGGAGCCGCGGTATCTCTTTCGAACAGCCCGCAGCCCCGGCAGGCGTCGGCCCTTGCGGGCCCCTTCACGCTGCTGACAGCTCTTTGAGGCGCGCGTGGAACAAAACGCGCCGTCGACACGGCCTGTCGTCGTTAGACGGACGGACGGCGAGCTACCCATTGCTCGCCGTCCACAGGCCCGCGCCTACGTTGGCCGGGGGCCACGACGTAGCCCCCGACGCCCGGGGCGTCTCCCGCGGCGGCCGGGAAGGAAAGCTGCTGCTCTCTCCTTCTCCCGCTCCGCCACCTCCTTCGCTAGCATCACTGCTTCGCAGAAGGTGGTGACGGCATCCCATTCCGTCTCGCTCCGGACCATGGCTTCGACCAGGGCCGGACGCGAGAGGTCGCCGCCGCCTATCGCCGCTACGAGGACACGGCGGTGCTCCGCCCAGGCAGGGCACACCTCCACGGTGTGCTCCACCGTGTCCTCCGGTCGATCCTCGCAGTGGGAGCACCCGGGCGTTTCCTCCCGCCCGATTCGGTGCAGGAACCTCCCGAACACACCGTGTCCGGTGAGGACCTGCGTCAGGCGGAAGGTGAGGACGCCGTGGCGTCTCTCAAGCCACTCCTCAAAGAGGGGTCTTATCGCCGCTATAGTGGCGTGCCCAGCACGAGGTTGCGACAGTCGCTCTATCCATGTCGCCATGAGATTATGCCGGAAGTCTGTCCGCTGCACGACAACTTGCCGCGGCAGCGGGGTTTCCCCCCGGCATAGTGCCTCCGCGCGCCATTCGTGCAGGCGCGCGAGGACTATCGCTTCCAGATCCCATGGCGGCAATCCGGCAAGGAGGCACGCTGCCTCGCGGGAGATCGTGCGGTAGCCGCGAACCATTCTTACGGCAACCACCTTTTGGGGCGCGTTCAGGTGGTGGACGGCAAGCCGCGCCAAACCACGCGCCCACACCGGGGCCCCGTAAAGGGCCATGGACCGCACAATCCCCGCGTAGAGCCTCCGGCAGGAGGCGTTTGGCCCCCCCAGGTTCGGCAGGAGCCGCCTGAAGGCAGCCCCGGTCCGTTCCAGTTTGGGAGCCAAACGTCGGAAGTGCTCAACGAAGTTCCATCGGCCGTCGAGGACGAGTCCTAGGTACTTCAAAGTCGACTCGACGCCGATGGATACCCCTCCTACCATCGCTGAGGATCCCGGTGGTGGCCTGTTCCGAGGACCATGGAAGTGCATGGCCTCGGACTTGTGCAGAGCCACCTCAAGACCCAGCTGCCGGATCCTCTCAACGACTATCGCAACCCCGCATGTCATATTTTCCGCCGCAGCCTCGTACGACCCCCCCTGTGCCAGTACCAGCGTGTCGTCAGCGTAGCAAACTACGCTGACGCCGGTAGGGAGGTTGGCGCGCAGCACCCAGTCGTAACCGATGTTCCACAGGGGCGGCCCCAGAACCGAACGTTGTGGGACACCGCACGACATCTCTCGCCGGTTCCACTCACCGTTGCGACCGGGGTAGATGACGGCCCTATCCGTCAGATAGTCCCCGACTATACGACGGAGATAGGTCGGCACCCGGTGATACTGGAGTGCCTCCCTAATGCAGCTCCAGGGCATGGAGTTGAAGGCGTTGGCGATGTCGAGAGACACCGCCAAAACAACCCCCCCCTGGCCACTGCATCCCCCGTCGTGAGGGCTCTCACGCGCATGATGGCGTCCACCGTAGAGCGCCTCTTGCGGAAACCAAACTGGTGTTCCGCAAGATCCGGCCCCGTCCCCGCAAGGTGCTCGGCGAGGCGGTTTGCAATGACTCTTTCAAAGAGCTTGCCCACCTCGTCGAGCAGCACCACGGGCCGGTGTGCGGACGGAGAGTCCGCAGGGCGCCCCGGCTTCTGAATGAGGACCAGCTTCCCCGTCTTCCAACGAAGCGGGAATTGGCCTCTCTCCAAGCATGCGCTTAGGAGCCCCTCCAGTCGGGGCCCGAGAGCCTCCGAGGCCAGGACCCAGGCTTTGCCAGGCAAGCCATCGGGTCCTGGGGCGGTATTCCTGGCCTTAAGCCTACGTACCGCCACTCTCAGGTCTACCCCGGTCCCTTCCGGGATGCCGTCATCGTCGTCCTGGTGGTCCGCTTCCGGCACCGCAGGTGGCGGAGCCATAGGCGGGGGCGGGTGTTCCCCTCGCGCAGGAAACAGAGCGCTCACCACGTCCTCCACGAGCTGAGGCCGAAGACTCTGCGTCAGCGGGGGAGTTTGACTGGAGTGCACCGCTCGTTGCCCGCCCCTGCGCCACTGCCGCGCCGCTATTTTCGAGGGTCAGTCCATTTAATTTCACGCATAAGATCCTGCCGCTCCCGCGACTCCATCGCCGCCACCCCGGTGCCCGCAAAATTCGAGGCTTCACTTCTACCGCGTGTGATACATGTTTATTTTTTTAAATAATATATCCCTATATAGCGGAAGATAGTAAATCGCACTGATTTTCCTAGACAAAAGCACATTCAATTATTGAGGTCTTACTAAAAATATCATATAAACTTAGTAATTTAGTAAACATATATTTAAATGAATAGTATATTAAAATTCCGTTATTATTCCGATAAAATATTTACACAGAAGGTAATAGTTACATATACATAACATAATATACATCTTGAGAAATATTCCTGAAATACAAAAATAGAGAAATATGCCAAATAATAACGAAACATAATACAGGAAATTATTATACAAAACGCTTTTAGACACAAACATTTACGTAGTAATATTTCAATTGAAAAACCCTTAGAGGAACGGAGGAAATCTTTAGAGAAGTTTTCATGTATATGCTAAGACGTAATATTATAAAGTATATTTTCATATTCAAATAAAGAAAAATTATTACCTACTAGCTGGCCAGGCAGACGTTGTTCTGCCCTTTTCGACGACCCTTCATATAAAAAAATCCTTAAATTCGTAATAAAAAAATATTGAGTGTCTCTTATCAGGATATAAACTATCCTATCTCTCAAACTGCACAGAGTGTGCAAAATTTCATTGAAATCAGTTCTGTAATTTAGGAGTTCATCGCAGACAAACAATGTGACACGTAATTTTATATATAAAGATTGTACAAACCAAGGAATAGAAAGATTTAAATTATTTTCACAACAATAAGCGACTGTAATTTGATAATTAATCTATTCACACATCGTCGTTTTTTTGTGAAAAATTCATTCATTGCAGCATATAAGAAGTCCACGACTAAACATAGATCTCACCCTTTGATTGCCACATATTTTTGTCATAGTATGTATTTGTCATACAGACATATGTATTTATCATAATTGTCACGCATGGGAAGCGGGTTGGTAACCAAAGTTTTTTTTTATTATTTTGTGTAATTTTCAGGAAGATGCTTCTGCACATCACATGTTTCATTTCCTTCTGTCGCCACTAATGACACCCAAGGGATGATATTTGATTTAGGATGGTTTTTGATTCTCTTTTATCGCTACTTACGCAGCAAACTCATTATTAATCCGTCCAAACAAATATGAATCTGTAAAAATGAATATAATGAAGATGGATTTTAGTATTAAATTTGGACATATTCTCGTCAGAAATCACGTCTATTCTTTGATAATACTTAAGGAATAGTTATTTCCCGACAAATAATAGTCGATCGAGTCGAGTAGATTGGGAGTGTCCACTTTGTTCGAGAGAGCACATGCTGTATGTAAGTCGTATCTTGTTTTCGCGCTATGAGTTGTTCTACAGATCTACGAAACACGAGCTAGCTACGTAGCAACAATCACAAGTATAGCCAAATAATAGAACTTTTACTTCGGGATAGTTCATATAGAACTATTATTACATATTTACATGGAATTAAATTGTACATAAATTGTATAAATAGAATTCTAAAAGTACTTATCACTCCTATTTCGATTTAAATTTTATTCAAAGACTAGCTGTTCCCCGCGACTTCGCCCACGTGTAATTTAGGGTTTTAATTTTGTTGCACAGAACCCTAATTATTTTTATAAAATATTAGCAGCCTAAGTTACTCATTAAAATATCAGCTACCTACCAGTGAAAGTCCCGTCAAAATCGGTCCAGCCGTTTCGGAGATTAGCCGGAACAAACAGACAGACAGACAAAAATTTTAAAAATTGTGTTTTTGTTATAGGTACCGTATATACTTTTATATGCAATTAATAAAAAGCTGTTATTTTGACATTACAAACAGACACTTCAATTTTATTTAGTTGTATAGATAAATGAAAAAAAAAAAGAATTCATCTTCTTTCTAACCGATGGGTTCTTTTTAAATAGTTCATAAAAACATAAAAATTTTCATCATTCCCTATAATTTTTTATGAGGAATCTCGGATCAAAAATTGAGAAAGTAATATCAAAATACTCTAATATAATTTACTACAATACTCTACATAATTAGAAAAAATAATAGTAATATTGTTTAATATAAAATTCCTTACTAAACTAAATAAAACTAACCTCCTACCATTATTAGTTGAAATAAGTGAGAACAAAATGCATTAAACAAGTCGCCAGTAATAACATGCTTTTACTTAAGTGCAAGCATAAGTAAAAGTTGCCGGGTGTCTCGCATACTGTATGCACTTAAAGTGGTTGTATTAAAAATTACCAATTTTTATATTAAAATTATTCTAAATTAAATATAATTAAAATAGTTAATTATACAAACTATAATGAACTAATTTACCTACTGTCAAACGATTATATAATTGGCAATCAGAGATTTGGGAATTGGTAAGAGCCAAACTCAAAAAAAATTACATCGACATTTAAAAGTTAGCGAACTTTGTTGCCGC